GAGTCTGAGGGCAAAGTGTTTGAACTGTGGATGAAATAGACACTCTCTTCTGAAAACCGCTCATTGGTCAAGTTCTGTACGGTAATTGGAAAGCATCATTTAGGAAAAGTTTTAAAGTCTGAATAAGCTCACATGGAAGAATATGATTGTCTGTAAGTGGCTCTTTGAAGTCCTTTCTACCTCTGCTTTGTTCTTGGTTTGTTTATGCTTTTTGGTGTATCTATATAACCAAGAAAAACTGGTTTGTAATGTACGTTGAGCAACGTTTTGAGTCAAAGAAAATGTTGATCAAAGAAAACATTAGACAATGCGACAGAATTTTGGTAAATTTCCAATAATGTAATGTTTCTTTTGTTTGTATTTATGCTAAGAAACATTTTTGTTTCTCTCCAGGTAAGACATATTTTGATCATCTAGATTTTCATAAAGTTGATCATATTTAAGTTTTTCACTGTACATTATGCATCCCATGGAATATGTTGGTCTGGAACCAATCCCAGCTGTCATATGACTAGAAGTGGAGTACAACCAGTGCAATCAATGGGAACAGAGTGTAGTATTTATTAATTATTAAGGTTATTTAATCTGGTTTGCCTAGGAAGTATCACAGCAAGAATGGACATCAAACACATTCTATTCCATTGGGGGATGTAATACAGACATTCTTTTGTCCCTTTGTTGTGTGAGGTCTGGCTTGTTCACTTGAACCACAAGTGCTTTGCAGAATAGTGAGCCTTCTGACTCTTCTCTAAATGCAGTATTGTACGTAAAACTGTGCCTTTGTAAACTGTTGTTGTCGAACATGTTATTCACAAACCAGGTGGGTTTTTTCTTTTGCCGCCCCATTTTGATTTAACTTTTCCATGCTTCCCTCTACCTGGTGCTGCCTTGGATAAAACTAGATATTAAGGGTGATGCATTAATTACTCGGTCTCATGTATAAGTAATGATTAAAGTTTAATTAAAAGAGCTCTACTATCACATAAATCCTTTGGAACTGATAAACAAGACCCATGCATAAGCACTGAAAGAGCAACCGCATTGATTGAATTTTCTTTCCACTCCAGGAAAAACGGATCATACAAATTAAAAAGTGGCCTGAGCCACACAGAAAAAGAGGACAGAGATGGAAGACAATCACTTCAGTTCAGTGATTATAGATCTTGCTGGGTTTTTCATTGTCACTCTTGCGAGAGAAAAAAAAAGGCCCAATGCAATGATTAGCATTCAATGCTGGATCTTTGACAATGTGTGTCAAATGTGTGTGTGGTCCTGCGGTCATTTTGCTGTGTGTGGTAGCTTTTCTGTTTATCGTGGAAATTGTAAATCTGGCCCTATGCAGTAAATGCACTAAATATTCGGAAAATGCAGTGATTGTGTATGCAGTTGGTAGTGTTATATCATATAACATCCAACTAAAAAAAGAATGCATCTGGCTGCTTGTAGAATGTAAATAAAGAGAAGTCATTTTTTCCTTTCAAAATCACATCACATAAAAACATTTTCAATGGTGAAGTATTTCACTATTGTGAAATTACATCATAATTAATTTACTGTCATAAAGCTAAGACATAAAGTTACCTTTAATTTAAAAAAGGTGGGACAGACCTACATGTTTAAACTAATTTCATAGTTAGTTCAACCAGGTTTCTTCGGGTGTCTTATTTTGGTAGGTACCATTTGAGTTTCCAGACTTTTGTTATGGTGGTAGTGGTAGTCGCTATTAAACAGTTGTTGTGTTCATGTTCATTATGTATTACAATGTAATGGTCTAATCTACTGTCCAAATATTTTCAGCCAGATAAAGATCTGGGAGAAAATAACGTGAAGCGTTCACAAGAGATGAGACAAAGCAAATATATTTATTTTTACTAATTTAACTGCTTTTCTCCATCAAGGCTAAAACTGGATGAGTTTATGTGGTTATTTGGAGAAAGACCAAAGGAACAATAATGAATCCTTTGCCTCTCATTTCTGTGCTTCAGAGATTATTATGATTCAGGGAATCGTAATACTCTGAAAGGTTACTACACTCAGTAGGTATGTTTTTTACTACAAATATATCATGAGCATAGCTCACTGGAGGGCTCTATTTTAAGTCTTTTACAAGTACGTAAGTACACAGCTACATAAAATACTCTGTACTGAAAGTACAACATGCAATTTAAATAGCAAATTACAAGTTGACCGTTGAACTTTTTTTTTTTTTAATTGACAATTGCATATGATATGGAGCTAATAAACTTGGAGTTAAAACTTGGAGTTCCTTATTCAAAATCTGAACTATACTAATATGATGATATACTGTATGTAGTAAAGTGTTTAGAAAGTCAAGTATTCCGAACATTTCTCATCTTAAATGCTTTATGCATATTTCTTTTTTTTCCCGCTCTGAACCATCAGAACATTCCCTTGAATTTTTGCA